GCCTGGGAAGGGCAGCCTAGATGCTAGACCTGAGAAGCCCTGACTCTCAGCTGGACCGGCCCCAAACAGGCCCCACCGCTGCTCACCATGCACTGTAACTGTCTACACTTCTGCAGGGTTTCCCCTGTCCTGCCAGCCCTAGTACAAACCTTTCCCTGAGCCTTGGCTTTGAGTGGTTATTGGCACCCACCAGGGCTAGGACCCACAAGCCCGAGCTGCTGAAGTGCCTGCAGTGCTGGCCTCAGTCCGGATGCACCTGGCGTGCTGCTGGCACCTTGGGGTATGGTGCGCTCCAGCCCAGAGCATCTGCAATAATTTCACATGTGGGCTCACTCCCGAGGAAAGCCTGGTCACCTCTTGCAGCTTAGAGGCTCTCAGGCTCTCAGCACAGGCTGTAAGGGCATCTTCCAGGTTATCTGCATCCCCAGGGAGGGGAGGAGCGCCGAGTTCCCAGCAATCTGGACAGGTTTTAGAGTAACAGTCGTGTTAGTCTGTATTCGCAATAAGAAAAGGAGTACTTGTGGCACCTTAGAGACTAACCAATTTATCTGAGCATAAGCTTTCGTGAGCTACAGCTCACTTCATCGGATGCATACTGTGGAAAGTACAGAAGATCTTTTTATACACACAAAGCATGAAACAATGGGTGTTTACCACTACAAAAGGTTTTTTCTCCCCCCCACCCCACTCTCCTGCTGGTAATAGCTTATTATGATAATCAAGGTGGGCCATTTCCAGCACAAATCCAGGGTTTAATAATCAAGGTGGGCCATTTCCAGCACAAATCCAGGGTTTAAAGTACGGAAAATAGATCTTCTGTACAAGAAGAAAGCCAAGGAATGTGTGGGCCCCTTACTGAATGAGGGAGGCAAACTAGTGACAGAGGATGTGGAAAAAGCTAATGTACTCAATGCTTTTTTTGCCTCTGTTTTCACTAACAAGGTCAGCTCCCAGACTGCTACGCTGGGCATCACAAAATGGGGAAGAGATGGCCAGCCCTCTGTGGAGATAGAGGTGGTTAGGGACTTTTTAGAAAAGCTGGACGTGCACAAGTCCATGGGGCCGGACGAGTTGCACCCGAGAGTGCTGAAGGAACTGGCGGCTGTGATTGCAGAGCCATTAGCCATTATCTTTGAAAACTCGTGGCGAACCGGGGAAGTCCCGGATGACTGGAAAAAGGCTAATGTAGTGCCAATCTTTAAAAAAGGGAAGAAGGAGGATCCTGGGAACTACAGGCCAGTCAGCCTCACTTCAGTCCCTGGAAAAATCATGGAGCAGGTCCTCAAAGAATCAATCCTGAAGCACTTACATGAGAGGAAAGTGATCAGGAACAGCCAGCATGGATTCACCAAGGGAAGGTCATGCCTGACTAATCTAATCGCCTTCTATGATGAGATTACTGGTTCTGTGGATGAAGGGAAAGCAGTGGATGTATTGTTTCTTGACTTTAGCAAAGCTTTTGACACGGTCTCCCACAGTATTCTTGTCAGCAAGTTAAGGAAGTATGGGCTGGATGAATGCACTACAAGGTGGGTAGAAAGCTGGCTAGATTGTCGGGCTCAACGGGTAGTGATCAATGGCTCCATGTCTAGTTGGCAGCGGTATCAAGTGGTGTGCCCCAAGGGTCGGTCCTGGGGCCGGTTTTGTTCAATATCTTCATAAATGATCTGGAGGATGGTGTGGATTGCACTCTCAGCAAATTTGCGGATGATACTAAACTGGGAGGAGTGGTAGATACGCTGGAGGGGAGGGATAGGATACAGAAGGACCTAGACAAATTGGAGGATTGGGCCAAAAGAAATCTGATGAGGTTCAATAAGGATAAGTGCAGGGTCCTGCACTTAGGACGGAAGAACCCAATGCACAGCTACAGACTAGGGACCGAATGTCTAGGCAGCAGTTCTGCGGAAAAGGACCTAGGGGTGACAGTGGACGAGAAGCTGGATATGAGTCAGCAGTGTGCCCTTGTTGCCAAGAAGGCCAATGGCATTTTGGGATGTATAAGTAGGGGCATAGCGAGCAGATCGAGGGACGTGATCGTTCCCCTCTATTCGACATTGGTGAGGCCTCATCTGGAGTACTGTGTCCAGTTTTGGGCCCCACACTTCAAGAAGGATGTGGATAAATTGGAGAGAGTCCAGCGAAGGGCAACAAAAATGATTAGGGGTCTGGAACATATGAGTTATGAGGAGAGGCTGAGGGAGCTGGGATTGTTTAGCCTGCAGAAGAGAAGAATGAGGGGGATTTGATAGCTGTTTTCAACTACCTGAAAGGGGGTTCCAAAGAGGATGGCTCTAGACTGTTCTCAATGGTAGGAGATGACAGAACGAGGAGTAATGGTCTCAAGTTACAGTGGGGGAGGTTTAGATTGGATATTAGGAAAAACTTTTTCACTAAGAGGGTAGTGAAACACTGGAATGCGTTACCTAGGGAGGTGGTAGAATCTCCTTCCTTAGAGGTTTTTAAGGTCAGGCTTGACAAAGCCCTGGCTGGGATGATTTAACTGGGAATTGGTCCTGCTTTGAGCAGGGGGTTGGACTAGATGACCTTCTGGGGTCCCTTCCAACCCTTATATTCTATGATTCTATGATTCTATGATTCTATGATTCTATTCTATGATTCTATGATTCTATGATTCTATGATTTGTGCTGGAAATGGCCCACCTTGATTATCATAATAAGCTATTACCAGCAGGAGCGTGGGGTGGGGGGAGAAAAAACCTTTTGTAGTGGTAAACACCCATTTTTTCAAACTGGACAGTCTCTACGTAAAAGAATAAATGGACACAAATCAGATGTCAAGAATTATAACATTCATAAACCAGTTGGAGAACACTTCAATCTCTCTGGTCACGCAATTACAGACATGAAAGTTGCGATATTACAACAAAAAAACTTCAAAACCAGACTCCAGCGAGAGACTGTTGAATTGAAATTCATTTGCAAATTGGATACAATTAACTTAGGCTTGAATAGAGACTGGGAGTGGCTAAGTCATTATGCAAGGTAACCTATTTCCCCTTGTTTTTTCCTACCCCCCCCCCCCCCCACCCCAGACGTTCTTGTTAAACCCTGGATTTGTGCTGGAAATGGCCCAACTTGATTTCATACACATTGTAAGGAGAGTGATCACTTTAGATAAGCTATTACCAGCAGGAGAGTGGGGTGGGGGGAGAGAAAACCTTTTGTAGTGGTAAACACCCATTTTTTCATGCTTTGTGTGTATAAAAAGTGTATATTTTATACACTTTCCACAGTATGCATCTGATGAAGTGAGCTGTAGCTCACGAAAGCTTCTGCTCAAATAAATTGGTAAGTCTCTAAGGTGCAGCAATCTGCAGGGGTGGTTTCAAAGCTGTCAGTTTGCACGAGCTCAGGAATTACGGCTTCCTGCAGATGGCAGTGCACTGCCACAGACTTGGGCTGCGAAGACTGGCCGGCCTAATCCCAGCACAGACAGGTGTGGTTTAGCCTCCTGGATGGGGATGGGGACAGGGACTGACCGGCCTCCTGTGGAGGGAGGGCCCAGGGACTAATCAGGTCATTAACCCGTAAAGTGCCTTCAACACTGATAGTGCTGCATCCTGCCGCTGTCAGGGTAAGAGGGCAACTCTGGGCCTGTTTCCTGCTCCCCAAATCTCTTGGGGTTTGTCCACGGCCAATGCACAGCGTTGGCTTCTGAGGGTCCCAGGGTCTGTAATAGGGAGACACAGGTTTCCTACTGGAACAAAGCTGCCTCCCCTTCCGCTAAGATCTCTGCTCTCTGCCTGGCTCAGGGCTTGATCTGGATCTGACCACTGACGCGCTGCCCTTTATCCAGTGGCAGCTTTAGAAGTCCTGGGGTTGAATCCATTTTCCATCACACAGCTGCAGAGGCCACTTTGGCGGGGTTAGTTAAGACAAAGATCCATTCTGCTCACGTCATCCTCTGCAGGTGATTAAAGATTCCCTTTATTGAGAGAGGAGAGCTGGTCAGCACCTGGGAACCCCCGAGGCTTCAAGCAGGCGCAGAACGTTGGCAAAGCGAGCTCAGGAGATGGAAGGAGAAGAGGAGCTGAGCCTGGGATAGACCTGTCTGGAAATGCCCTGTCAGACGGGAAAGGCCCCTTTATTTCTGGCTGCTCCACTGAAAAGTCCATGTTGCAAACCCAATTTTGAATAAACAAACCCTTCTGAAAATATGCCTCATGATTCCTCAGCTCCTGGCTAGAGTTCACAGACCTCAGCTCCAGGGCAGCTGTCAGGCGGGAAGGGGGACTTTGAAAACAACATACCACTGTGTTTCTGAGTGAGTCTAGTGCTCGAAAGGGGAGGGAAACAGTATCCCCCGCTACAGACTAACATGGCATTGGATCACTCAGGGAGGGGTGCACTTGGAGAAACTAAATCAAATCGACGAGAATCGTGCAGGCCAATGCTGTGCAACCCTCTGCCGCTCAGCTCTGCCAATGCAACCCACTCCCCCCGACAAGTTCCCATAGTCTTCCACTTCTGGCCTCCACCGAGCTCTGCTGATACTCCTCGATCCAGACCTGCAGTCTCCCCCCGCCACTCAGCCTCAACTCTGACTTGAAAAACGTTGGAATTCCGATTCTGGAACTATCCTGAGCAGAACCTGGAAAGAGAAGACCCAGCCACTTCCTCCCTTACCCTGGCCTACGCTGAGCACCTTTCCTTCCCACAGCGGCTGCAATGCATTCTTTGGTCCAGGAGAACACGGGGATTGCACATTACCCTGAGATTCCCTGAGGTAATTCAGTACAATTGCCGCATGACCCAGAGGGTTGTGCAATATCAGGGACCCAATATCCCTGACAACCTGGGAGACATTTTACATGGCATTCCACGGCAAGCAGTAAGCAGACAGGCCTGAGTAAAAGAGGATGATAACAAAGAGAAGCATCACTGAGACCTTTGTCCTGCAAAGCACGCTGGGAATTTCACCAAACAAACAGAGGGACAGAACACCAGTGCTCACAGAGACAGAATGACTTCAGACAAAGAGATAAAAAGTGCTATTTGCAAAATAAAACAAAACTGGGTCACAGTCATAAAATGAAATATAATTAGTTCATCCCCACCTTCAGCAAACAGAGCCCCGTGTCTGGGTCTGGGACGCATCTGCTGAGGAGCTGCATGTAGGTGAGGTTCTCGTGAGTGTTGGGGTCGAAGAAGCCCTTGGTGTCGTCGCTGGGGTCACAGAGGATCCGGTTCATCTCTTCGTCGAAGTAGCCCCGCTTGTAAGCCACCTCCACGGGGAGGCGGTGACTGTGCACGGGATCGATGATGCCGCCGGTGGCGATCTGGGCCTCCAGCAGGCGGATGCCGTGGTCTTTGACGAGCAGGTCTTTCTTCATGGCCTGGAAGAGGGAGATCTTGTTGCCTGTGTAGGGGTCAGTGTATCCGGTCACTGCTCTCTCTGCAGAGAGCAGCTTCTCGTGAACCTCACTGCCCACCAGGCCGGCGGAGACGGCTTCATCGACGGACAGCTTCTCGTTCTTCAGCGGGTCAGTGATAAAGCCGGTGGCAGCCTGCGCCTCCAGCAGCACCAGCGCGGTGCCCGGCCTCAGAATCCCCTTCCACATGGCCTGGTAGATGCTCATCTTCTCTGTCCTGGACGGGTCTGTGTTGGACGGCACAAGGACTCCGGCAATGCAGCTCGTGCCTTGGAGGTATCTCTTTACGGAATCCATTTCCGTGATCTCCTGCACCGTCTTGGTGCCCTGGGTGAGTTCAGTCAGCGTGTTCTGGTCAATAATGTCAGAGCTGAACAGCTCTGAGGCAGTCACCTGCCTCCTGAGGCCGGAGAACTTCAGTTTGCTGCTTCTCTCTTCTTTCTCCTCAACGATGGTGGTGAGGATTCTGACCAGCTCCTCCAGGGTCACGGTCCCTGCTCTGTACTTCTCCAGCACCTCCTGCCTTTTCTCTTCCGAGAGGTATTTGGAGAAGAGAAGTTCCCACACGGAGACTTTTCGCCCTTGGAACTCGCCGACCGATACATCGACGGTGGCGAGCCGGAGAGTCTTTTCCGCTTGTTCGTCCTGCGGAGAAGGGGCGCTGGCAGCTCTCCCGGATGTTCTCTCCTCTCGGCGGGGGCCTTCCACTCCTCTGGGCTCTTTGCCGCTCTTTTTCTCGGTCTCGGTGATGAGGGTGGTGATGATGGTTGTCATTTCCTGAATGGTTAGCGTCCCCGCTTTGTACTTCTTCAGAAGCTCCTGCCTTTTTTGGTCAGGGACGTATCTGGAGAAGAGAAGCTCCCACACGGTCACGTTCTGCCCCTGGAAGAGTCCCACGCTGACGGTGGCAGGGGCAGACTGTAAGGAGATTCGTGTTTGTTCATCTAGCTGGAAGAGCACGGAGCCTTTGTGCATCAGCTGAAGCATAAGGAGCCCCGTGTCTGGGTCTGGGACGCATCTGCTGAGGAGCTGCATGTAGGTGAGGTTCTCGTGAGTGTTGGGGTCGAAGAAGCCCTTGGTGTCGTCGCTGGGGTCACAGAGGATCCGGTTCATCTCTTCGTCGAAGTAGCCCCGCTTGTAAGCCACCTCCACGGGGAGGCGGTGACTGTGCACGGGGTCGATGATGCCGCCGGTGGCGATCTGGGCCTCCAGCAGGCGGATGCCGTGGTCTTTGACGAGCAGGTCTTTCTTCATGGCCTGGAAGAGGGAGATCTTGTTGCCTGTGTAGGGGTCAGTGTATCCGGTCACTGCTCTCTCTGCAGAGAGCAGCTTCTCGTGAACCTCACTGCCCACCAGGCCGGCGGAGACGGCTTCATCGACGGACAGCTTCTCGTTCTTCAGCGGGTCAGTGATAAAGCCGGTGGCAGCCTGCGCCTCCAGCAGCACCAGCGCGGTGCCCGGCCTCAGAATCCCCTTCCACATGGCCTGGTAGATGCTCATCTTCTCTGTCCTGGACGGGTCTGTGTTGGACGGCACAAGGACTCCGGCAATGCAGCTCGTGCCTTGGAGGTATCTCTTTACGGAATCCATTTCCGTGATCTCCTGCACCGTCTTGGTGCCCTGGGTGAGTTCAGTCAGCGTGTTCTGGTCAATAATGTCAGAGCTGAACAGCTCTGAGGCAGTCACCTGCCTCCTGAGGCCGGAGAACTTCAGTTTGCTGCTTCTCTCTTCTTTCTCCTCAACGATGGTGGTGAGGATTCTGACCAGCTCCTCCAGGGTCACGGTCCCTGCTCTGTACTTCTCCAGCACCTCCTGCCTTTTCTCTTCCGAGAGGTATTTGGAGAAGAGAAGTTCCCACACGGAGACTTTTCGCCCTTGGAACTCGCCGACCGATACATCGACGGTGGCGAGCCGGAGAGTCTTTTCCGCTTGTTCGTCCTGCGGAGAAGGGGCGCTGGCAGCTCTCCCGGATGTTCTCTCCTCTCGGCGGGGGCCTTCCACTCCTCTGGGCTCTTTGCCGCTCTTTTTCTCGGTCTCGGTGATGAGGGTGGTGATGATGGTTGTCATTTCCTGAATGGTTAGCGTCCCCGCTTTGTACTTCTTCAGAAGCTCCTGCCTTTTTTGGTCAGGGACGTATCTGGAGAAGAGAAGCTCCCACACGGTCACGTTCTGCCCCTGGAAGAGTCCCACGCTGACGGTGGCAGGGGCAGACTGTAAGGAGATTCGTGTTTGTTCATCTAGCTGGAAGAGCACGGAGCCTTTGTGCATCAGCTGAAGCATAAGGAGCCCCGTGTCTGGGTCTGGGACGCATCTGCTGAGGAGCTGCATGTAGGTGAGGTTCTCGTGAGTGTTGGGGTCGAAGAAGCCCTTGGTGTCGTCGCTGGGGTCACAGAGGATCCGGTTCATCTCTTCGTCGAAGTAGCCCCGCTTGTAAGCCACCTCCACGGGGAGGCGGTGACTGTGCACGGGGTCGATGATGCCGCCGGTGGCGATCTGGGCCTCCAGCAGGCGGATGCCGTGGTCTTTGACGAGCAGGTCTTTCTTCATGGCCTGGAAGAGGGAGATCTTGTTGCCTGTGTAGGGGTCAGTGTATCCGGTCACTGCTCTCTCTGCAGAGAGCAGCTTCTCGTGAACCTCACTGCCCACCAGGCCGGCGGAGACGGCTTCATCGACGGACAGCTTCTCGTTCTTCAGCGGGTCAGTGATAAAGCCGGTGGCAGCCTGCGCCTCCAGCAGCACCAGCGCGGTGCCCGGCCTCAGAATCCCCTTCCACATGGCCTGGTAGATGCTCATCTTCTCTGTCCTGGACGGGTCTGTGTTGGACGGCACAAGGACTCCGGCAATGCAGCTCGTGCCTTGGAGGTATCTCTTTACGGAATCCATTTCCGTGATCTCCTGCACCGTCTTGGTGCCCTGGGTGAGTTCAGTCAGCGTGTTCTGGTCAATAATGTCAGAGCTGAACAGCTCTGAGGCAGTCACCTGCCTCCTGAGGCCGGAGAACTTCAGTTTGCTGCTTCTCTCTTCTTTCTCCTCAACGATGGTGGTGAGGATTCTGACCAGCTCCTCCAGGGTCACGGTCCCTGCTCTGTACTTCTCCAGCACCTCCTGCCTTTTCTCTTCCGAGAGGTATTTGGAGAAGAGAAGTTCCCACACGGAGACTTTTCGCCCTTGGAACTCGCCGACCGATACATCGACGGTGGCGAGCCGGAGAGTCTTTTCCGCTTGTTCGTCCTGCGGAGAAGGGGCGCTGGCAGCTCTCCCGGATGTTCTCTCCTCTCGGCGGGGGCCTTCCACTCCTCTGGGCTCTTTGCCGCTCTTTTTCTCGGTCTCGGTGATGAGGGTGGTGATGATGGTTGTCATTTCCTGAATGGTTAGCGTCCCCGCTTTGTACTTCTTCAGAAGCTCCTGCCTTTTTTGGTCAGGGACGTATCTGGAGAAGAGAAGCTCCCACACGGTCACGTTCTGCCCCTGGAAGAGTCCCACGCTGACGGTGGCAGGGGCAGACTGTAAGGAGATTCGTGTTTGTTCATCTAGCTGGAAGAGCACGGAGCCTTTGTGCATCAGCTGAAGCATAAGGAGCCCCGTGTCTGGGTCTGGGACGCATCTGCTGAGGAGCTGCATGTAGGTGAGGTTCTCGTGAGTGTTGGGGTCGAAGAAGCCCTTGGTGTCGTCGCTGGGGTCACAGAGGATCCGGTTCATCTCTTCGTCGAAGTAGCCCCGCTTGTAAGCCACCTCCACGGGGAGGCGGTGACTGTGCACGGGGTCGATGATGCCGCCGGTGGCGATCTGGGCCTCCAGCAGGCGGATGCCGTGGTCTTTGACGAGCAGGTCTTTCTTCATGGCCTGGAAGAGGGAGATCTTGTTGCCTGTGTAGGGGTCAGTGTATCCGGTCACTGCTCTCTCTGCAGAGAGCAGCTTCTCGTGAACCTCACTGCCCACCAGGCCGGCGGAGACGGCTTCATCGACGGACAGCTTCTCGTTCTTCAGCGGGTCAGTGATAAAGCCGGTGGCAGCCTGCGCCTCCAGCAGCACCAGCGCGGTGCCCGGCCTCAGAATCCCCTTCCACATGGCCTGGTAGATGCTCATCTTCTCTGTCCTGGACGGGTCTGTGTTGGACGGCACAAGGACTCCGGCAATGCAGCTCGTGCCTTGGAGGTATCTCTTTACGGAATCCATTTCCGTGATCTCCTGCACCGTCTTGGTGCCCTGGGTGAGTTCAGTCAGCGTGTTCTGGTCAATAATGTCAGAGCTGAACAGCTCTGAGGCAGTCACCTGCCTCCTGAGGCCGGAGAACTTCAGTTTGCTGCTTCTCTCTTCTTTCTCCTCAACGATGGTGGTGAGGATTCTGACCAGCTCCTCCAGGGTCACGGTCCCTGCTCTGTACTTCTCCAGCACCTCCTGCCTTTTCTCTTCCGAGAGGTATTTGGAGAAGAGAAGTTCCCACACGGAGACTTTTCGCCCTTGGAACTCGCCGACCGATACATCGACGGTGGCGAGCCGGAGAGTCTTTTCCGCTTGTTCGTCCTGCGGAGAAGGGGCGCTGGCAGCTCTCCCGGATGTTCTCTCCTCTCGGCGGGGGCCTTCCACTCCTCTGGGCTCTTTGCCGCTCTTTTTCTCGGTCTCGGTGATGAGGGTGGTGATGATGGTTGTCATTTCCTGAATGGTTAGCGTCCCCGCTTTGTACTTCTTCAGAAGCTCCTGCCTTTTTTGGTCAGGGACGTATCTGGAGAAGAGAAGCTCCCACACGGTCACGTTCTGCCCCTGGAAGAGTCCCACGCTGACGGTGGCAGGGGCAGACTGTAAGGAGATTCGTGTTTGTTCATCTAGCTGGAAGAGCACGGAGCCTTTGTGCATCAGCTGAAGCATAAGGAGCCCCGTGTCTGGGTCTGGGACGCATCTGCTGAGGAGCTGCATGTAGGTGAGGTTCTCGTGAGTGTTGGGGTCGAAGAAGCCCTTGGTGTCGTCGCTGGGGTCACAGAGGATCCGGTTCATCTCTTCGTCGAAGTAGCCCCGCTTGTAAGCCACCTCCACGGGGAGGCGGTGACTGTGCACGGGGTCGATGATGCCGCCGGTGGCGATCTGGGCCTCCAGCAGGCGGATGCCGTGGTCTTTGACGAGCAGGTCTTTCTTCATGGCCTGGAAGAGGGAGATCTTGTTGCCTGTGTAGGGGTCAGTGTATCCGGTCACTGCTCTCTCTGCAGAGAGCAGCTTCTCGTGAACCTCACTGCCCACCAGGCCGGCGGAGACGGCTTCATCGACGGACAGCTTCTCGTTCTTCAGCGGGTCAGTGATAAAGCCGGTGGCAGCCTGCGCCTCCAGCAGCACCAGCGCGGTGCCCGGCCTCAGAATCCCCTTCCACATGGCCTGGTAGATGCTCATCTTCTCTGTCCTGGACGGGTCTGTGTTGGACGGCACAAGGACTCCGGCAATGCAGCTCGTGCCTTGGAGGTATCTCTTTACGGAATCCATTTCCGTGATCTCCTGCACCGTCTTGGTGCCCTGGGTGAGTTCAGTCAGCGTGTTCTGGTCAATAATGTCAGAGCTGAACAGCTCTGAGGCAGTCACCTGCCTCCTGAGGCCGGAGAACTTCAGTTTGCTGCTTCTCTCTTCTTTCTCCTCAACGATGGTGGTGAGGATTCTGACCAGCTCCTCCAGGGTCACGGTCCCTGCTCTGTACTTCTCCAGCACCTCCTGCCTTTTCTCTTCCGAGAGGTATTTGGAGAAGAGAAGTTCCCACACGGAGACTTTTCGCCCTTGGAACTCGCCGACCGATACATCGACGGTGGCGAGCCGGAGAGTCTTTTCCGCTTGTTCGTCCTGCGGAGAAGGGGCGCTGGCAGCTCTCCCGGATGTTCTCTCCTCTCGGCGGGGGCCTTCCACTCCTCTGGGCTCTTTGCCGCTCTTTTTCTCGGTCTCGGTGATGAGGGTGGTGATGATGGTTGTCATTTCCTGAATGGTTAGCGTCCCCGCTTTGTACTTCTTCAGAAGCTCCTGCCTTTTTTGGTCAGGGACGTATCTGGAGAAGAGAAGCTCCCCACACGGTCACGTTCTGCCCCTGGAAGAGTCCCACGCTGACGGTGGCAGGGGCAGACTGTAAGGAGATTCGTGTTTGTTCATCTAGCTGGAAGAGCACGGAGCCTTTGTGCATCAGCTGAAGCATAAGGAGCCCCGTGTCTGGGTCTGGGACGCATCTGCTGAGGAGCTGCATGTAGGTGAGGTTCTCGTGAGTGTTGGGGTCGAAGAAGCCCTTGGTGTCGTCGCTGGGGTCACAGAGGATCCGGTTCATCTCTTCGTCGAAGTAGCCCCGCTTGTAAGCCACCTCCACGGGGAGGCGGTGACTGTGCACGGGGTCGATGATGCCGCCGGTGGCGATCTGGGCCTCCAGCAGGCGGATGCCGTGGTCTTTGACGAGCAGGTCTTTCTTCATGGCCTGGAAGAGGGAGATCTTGTTGCCTGTGTAGGGGTCAGTGTATCCGGTCACTGCTCTCTCTGCAGAGAGCAGCTTCTCGTGAACCTCACTGCCCACCAGGCCGGCGGAGACGGCTTCATCGACGGACAGCTTCTCGTTCTTCAGCGGGTCAGTGATAAAGCCGGTGGCAGCCTGCGCCTCCAGCAGCACCAGCGCGGTGCCCGGCCTCAGAATCCCCTTCCACATGGCCTGGTAGATGCTCATCTTCTCTGTCCTGGACGGGTCTGTGTTGGACGGCACAAGGACTCCGGCAATGCAGCTAGTTCCTTCAAGGTATCTCTTTATGGCATCCATCTTTGCTATATCTTTTGCAGTCTGTTTTCCTTCCTCTAGCTTTTCCATTGTGTCCTTGGTAATTATCTGTGCATTGAGTAGTTCTGATGCCGTGATTTTTTGTCTGATTCCCTGGAACCATATATCTTTTCTGCTCCTCTCTTTTTCATGTATAATGGTTAAGATGATATCAATGATCTTTTGTAGAATAGCTGTGGATTCCTTTTTGTATCGTTTTACCAATTCTTTTCTCTTTTCCTCAGTGATATATTCGGAACAGAGGAGTTCCCATAGAGATAAATTATGTCCTTTGTATTTCCCTACCTGTACTTGAACCATGGTGGATAACATTGTATTTTTTGTTTGCTCATCAGTGTAGAAATAGTCTTCCTTCTTTTCTATTATCTGAAGCAGGCACAGTCCTGTTTCTGGGTCTTTGCTACATCTGTGCAGAAGCTGCGCATAACTGAGTTTTTCCTTGGTGTTAGGATCCATAAATCGTTTGTTGCCATGTTGTGGATCAGAAAGAAGGAGAAATGTGTCATCGTCCAAATATCCCCGCTTGTAAGCCATCTCCACGGGGAGGCGGTGACTGTGCACGGGGTCGATGATGCCGCCGGTGGCGATCTGGGCCTCCAGCAGGGGGATGCCGTAGTCTTTGACGAGCAGGTCTTTCTTCATGGCCTGGAAGAGGGAGATCTTGTTGCCTGTGTAGGGGTCAGTGTATCCGGTCACTGCTCTCTCTGCAGAGAGCAGCTTCTCGTGAACCTCACTGCCCACCAGGCCGGCGGAGACGGCTTCATCGACGGACAGCTTCTCGTTCTTCAGCGGGTCAATGATAAAGCCCGTGGCAGCCTGCGCCTCCAGCAGCACCAGCGCCGATTCTGGTGTTAGGAGACCTCTCTCTCGGGCCTGGTAGATGCTCATTCTCTCTTTCTTGGCTGGCAGCAGAACTCCAGCAATGCAGCCAGTTCCATCCAGATACCTCTTGACAGAATCCATTTGGGTGAGTTTATGGACTGTGAGAGTTCCTTTTTGCAGATTGTCCAGTGTTGTTTTGTCAATTATCTCAGCATTGAATAACTCTGACACTGATACATCTCCTCTGAGTCCTTTTACCTTAAGGGCTTGGGTTCTGAGTTCCATTTCCTCAATGATGGTGGTGATGACTGTGATGAGCTGTTCTATTGTCAGGGTTTCACATTTATATTGCTTCACTAGTTCTTTTCTTTTCTGTTCTGAGATGTACTGAGAGCAGAGCAGGTCCCAGAGGGACACTGTTTGGCCTTTGAACTTCCCAACATGCATTTTAATGGGTTTTGAGCATAAAAATTGTTTCATTGACTCATCGATATAGAAGTATCTCCCCCCATGCTTTACTATTTGGAGCATATACAGCCCAGTCTCAGGGTCTTGGACACATCTCTCCAGGAGTTGTATGTAGGTGAGGTTCTCATGAGTGTTGGGGTCGAAGAAGCCCTTGGTGTCGTCGCTGGGGTCACAGAGGATCCGGTTCATCTCTTCGTCGAAGTAGCCCCGCTTGTAAGCCACCTCCACAGGGAGGCGGTGACTGTGCACGGGGTCGATGATGCCTCCGGTGGCAACCTGGGCCTCGAGCAGGCGGATGCCATGGCTCTTGAGGATCAGTCCCTGGTTCATGGCTTCGAAGAGGGAGATTTGGCCTTTTGTGTAGGGATCAGTATATCCGGTCACTGCTCTCTCTGCAGACAGCAGCTTTTCATAGACCTCTTGTCCAATGAGCCCAGCAGCAAGTGCCTCCTCCACTGACAGCCTCTTGTTCTTCACCGGGTCAATAACAAACCCGGTGGCAGCCTGCGCCTCCAGCAACACCAGCGCGGTGCCCGGCCTCAGCATGCTTCTCGTCATAGCCTGGTAGATGCTCATCTTCTCATTGGCTGGCTGTATTAGCACTCCAGCTATGAAGTTACCCCCCTCCAGGTATCTCCGGACGGCGTCCATCTCTGTGACTTCTTTGACAGTTTTCTGTCCCTGCTTGAGTTCATCCAGGGTTTTCTTGTCTATCAGCTGAGACTCGAAGAGGTCGCTGGCAGACACCTGCTTCCGCAGGCCCTTGAACGTGAACCTCTTGCCTTGCTTCTCAGATTCTTCAATGATTGTGGTAACGGTGGTGATGATTTCTTGCAGGGCCACAGTGTTCTCCCCTTTGTATAGTTTCACCAGCTCTCTCTGCTTGCAGTCTGTGATATACTCGGAATTGAGAAGGTCCCAGAGGCAAACTGTTTGCCCTTTGAACCGACCTACTGCGACACAGACTGTCACAGATTTCAGCACCTCCATGGTTTGTTTGTCCACATAGAATGCTGCAGTTTCAGACAGAGGTAGTAGCCAGAGGCCTGTCTCAGCATCAGGGACACACTTGTCTTTCAGCTGCTGGTAGGTCAAGTTTTCCTTTGTGTTTGGATCAAAGAAGACTTTGGTGTTGTCAGTGGGCTGGGATAGGGCCTGGTTCATTTCTTCATCATAAAAGCCGTGCATGTAGGCAGCAGGAAGAGGAAGATGATGATGGTGGATGGGATCGATGACCCCTCCTGTAGCCAGCTGGGCCTCTATTAAGGGAACAGCATCACTCATGGGAATGAGGCCTTTCCTGACTGCTTGACAGACTGAGATTGAGTTCCCCGTGTATGGGTCTGTGTAACCAGTCACTGCTCTCTCTGCTAGAAGCAACTTCTCCATGAGTTCCTCACCGACAATGGCTGCTTTGACGGCATCCTCCACACCAAGTTTCTGGTTTGTTACTGGGTCTATAACAGCTCCTGTGGCTGCTTGAGCCTCTAGCAACAACACCCCTGTCCCAGGCAGGAGGAGATTGTTTTTCATTGCTTGGTAAATGCTCATCCTCTTCTTGGAGGCCTGTATGAAAATCCCAGCAATGCTCCCTGTGCCCTGTAAGTATCTCTTCACGCTCTCCATCTTGGCTACTTCTCCAGCTGTTTGTTTTCCCTTAGCCAGCTCCACGAACGTCTTCTCAGTAATGATGCCAGCATCGAACAGCCAGACAGCAGGCACGCTGCCCCGCAGGCCTTCAAAGGTGATGTGGGTATGGGCTTTCATCTCTATTTCCTCAACAAGCTTCAGGACAAGAGTGACCAGCTGCCAGACAGACACATCCTCAGACCGGTACTTCTCCACAAAGTCATTTCTCTGCTCCTCAGTGAAGTAGCCAGAGTGGATCAGCTCCCAGAGGGAGACCCCTTTTGCCTTCACCATGGTGTCCTTGAATAGCTTCTGGATCTGCTCATCTGTGCAGACAGGCACAGCTGTCTGTGGCAAAGGCAGCAAGTGGAGGCCAGAGTTTTCATCCTTCTGGCAGTGAGCGATGAGCTGAGCGTAGGTCACAGGCTCCTTGCTGTTGGGGATGCAGTAGACCCTGGTATTATCAGAGGCACTAGAGAGGGTTTTGCTCATGTCCTCGTCCAAGTAGCCTTGTTTCTGGGCAAATTCCACAGGGACATAGTGGCCATGGTGAGGGTCGATGATGCCTCCTGTGGCAATTTGGGCTTCCATGAGCTGAATAGCCTGTTTGTCAGCGATGAGGCCCTTCTTCATGGCTTGGAAGAGGGAGATCTTTTCTCCGGTGAAAGGGTCTTTATATCCCATTACGGCTCCTTCTGCGTGCTGCAGTTTCTCATGGAGTTCTGGCCCGATAACCCCTTCCCTTACGGCTTCATCAACGCACAGCTTCTGGTTGTTCACTGGGTTGATGACGAAGCCAGTAGCAGCTTGGGCCTCGAGCAGTGGGAGAGCCACCCCTGGCATCACAATCTTCTGCTTCATGGCTTCATAGATGCTCATTCTCTGGTTTGATGGCTGGAGCACGATCCCCCCAATGCTGCCAGAGCCGTAGAGGTATTTGCGGACAGAGTCCATGCGCAGGACATCCTCCGGGCTCACGGCTCCCTCCAGCACCCTCTCGAACAGGGCCTTGTCTATGATGCCAGTTTCTAGCAGGTGGTAGGCCGTGACGCTGCCTCTCATGGCTGGGAATTTGATGTGGGCCCATTTTTTCATCTCTTCCTCCAACGTGAGTCTGATCTGCTCCAGGGTGAGCTTCCGCAGCTGGTAGTGATTAAATATCTCCCGCCGCTTTCCCTCGCTGAAATACTCAGAGTTCAACAGGTCCCACACAGAGACCCTTTCTCCTTGGAACCTCCCGTACTTCACGAGGAGCCAGGTGCTCCTGAAGGCTTGTTTGGTGGTGTCATTGATGAACTGACGCTTCTTGCTGTTCAGAGGCAGGAGGCAGAGTCCAGTGGAGGGCTCTGTGATGCACTTCTCCTTCAGCTGCAAGTACGTGAGGTTCTCGTGCGTGTTGGGGTCGAAGAAGCCCTTGGTGTCAACGCTGGGGTCAGAGAGGATCCGGTTCATCTTCTTGTCAAAGTAGCCCCGCTTGTAAGCCACCTCCACGGGGAGACGGTGACTGTGCAAGGGGTCGATGATGCCGCCGGTGGCGATCTGGGCCTCCAGCAGGCGGATGCCATGGTCTCTGATGAGGTGGCCTTTGCTCATGGCCTGGAAGAGGGAGATCTTGTTGCCGGTGTAGGGGTCTTTGTAGCCAGTGACTGCTTTCTCTGCTGCCAGAAGCTTGTTGTAAATATCTGGGCCGATGACATTGGCTCGCAGAGCCTCCTCCACAGAATATTTCTTGTTTGCAGTTGGGTCGATGATGAATCCAGTGGCAGCCTGTGCCTCGAGGAGGATGAGGGATGTCCCTGGCATTAGAAGGCCTTTCCTCTTTGCCTGGTAGATGCTGATTTTCTCCTGGGAATCGGGCAGCAGCAACCCACTGATACTGCCTGTCCCTTCCAGGTACTTCCTGACTGTGTCCATGCAGACAACTTCTCTGGCTGATGTCTCCCCTTGGCTCAGTTTCTCAAACAAATCCCTGTTGATGATGTCAGCGCTCAGGAGCTGGCTAGGGGTCACTTTGTGCCTCAGGCCTTCAAAGGTGGTATTGGCGGTGGAAGCCATTTGCTGAACTGTGGTGCTGATGGTCTTAGCCAGTTCCTTCATGGAGAGAGTTGCGGTGCGGCACTGCTGGGTATACGTGGCCCTTTGCACGTTTGTGAAGTAGTCTGAGAAGAGGAGTTTCCAGAGCGACACTGACTTCCCCTTGAATTTGCCACAGGCCACGGGTACTGTTGTGTCTTCCAAAGCCATTCGGGTCCTGTGGTCTATGAAGGAATGCATGCCCTGAGACCCTTCCCCATTTTCTCCGAAGAGCGGCAGCAGGCGGAGACCGGTGTCTGGGTCAGTGACACACCTCTCCAATAACTCTGCGTACATGAGGGTCTCCTTCGTGTTGGGGTCGAAGAACCCTTTCATGTCATGGGTGGGATGGAAGAGGAGCCGCTTCATCTCTTCATCGAGGTAGCCCCGTTGGCAGGCCACCTCCACTGGGACACGGTGATTGTGGACTGGATCGATGAGGCCACCGGTGGCCAGCTGGGCCTCCAGTAGGTAAGTCCCCTGGTCCCTGGCAATAAGCCCCTTATTCATGGCTTGAAACAGAGAGAGCAGCTCCCCAGTGTAGGGGTCTCGGTACCCGGTGGCAGCTCTCTCAGCGGATGACAGCTTCTCATAGAGCTCCGGCCCAACCACACCAGCCTTGACACCATCATCAACTGAGAGTCTCTGGCTCTTGGTGGGCTCTGTCAGGCAGGCAGTGGCAGCCTGGGCCTGCAGGAGGGCCAGTGCTGTGCCTGGCATGAGGAGATGCTCTGTCAGCGCCTGGTACAGACTCTTCCTCTCACCGGTCGGCAGTATGGCAACACCTGCAATGCTTCCCGTGCCCTCCAGGTACTGCTGAACATGGTCCATCTCTGCTACCTCCTGGACAGAGACCCGGCCTTCCTCGAGGGCCCTGAACGTGTCCATGTCAATGATGCTGGAGCTGAGCAGCTCACTGCTGCTCACTCTCCCTCTCAGCCCTGGGAAGGTGATTTTCAGAGGCAAGAGGAGGAGCCCTGTGGAGGGATCGATCATGCACCGTTTCTTAAGCTCCAGATAGGTGACCGTCTCGCTGGTGTTTGGGTCAAGAAACCCTCTGGCAGCAGCAGAGCTGGGGTCAGAGAGGAGCTGGCTCATCTCGTCACCAAAGTGTCCCTGCTCGTAGGTAACGTCCATGGGGAGGCGGTGGCTGGTGGCTGGATCCACGAGGCCCCCTGTGGCGATCTGGACCTCCAGCAGGCGGGCGCCCCGATCCCGCCCGAGCAGCTCTTTTTGGATGGCTTGATAGAGTGAGATCTTCTCATCTGTGTAGGGGTCCATGAAGCCAATCGCTGCTCTCTCTGCAGACAGCAGCTTTTCTTTCAGCTCCAGGCCTACCAGCCCCAGTCTCACGGCCTCTGCCACAGAGAGCTGCTTGTTCCCCACCGGATCAATGAGGGAGCCTGTGGCTGCCTGAGCCTCCAGAAGAGCAAGTGCTGGCTCAGACATCAGGAAATGCTCTCTGGTGGCATCATAAAAGCTCATTGTCTTCTTGGAAGCCTCCACGTACACCCCAGCAATGGTCCCAGTCCCCGCCAGGGGCTCTCCCACACCGTGTGACTCCACACCCGTCTGTTGCCGCTTGCCAGGCTGCATGCCCTGATGGAAGTGACTTCCTCCTGGGGTGTCTTTTGGGTGAGCTGTGGGGGTGGCATGTCCATTCACTGCCGGCTGGTGCTCCATGCCGTCTGCCTTCTTGCGCTGCGCTCCCCTCCAGTGACGGGTGGGGCCTCGCTCACCTCCCGGGGCAGCGCCCGTGTCTCTGCAGAGAGAGAAGAGGCTCCATGAGACACAGCCACGTGCAGTTTTCATGGGACATGTGGACAAGAGAAGTATCTCCGCAGACACAATGCCAGGAACGGACGAGAGGCAGGGAGTGGAGCCAGTGCAGCCCCCTGGCTGGAGGCATCCAGACAACAGTGAGAGCAAGAGGAGAAATGCCAGAGGCAAGACTCTCCCTCCTCCCGTGGGCTGGATGAGCAGCAGGAGTGGCAGAAGGCCCGCAAACATGGCAGGGCCACCAGGGCCCGAACTGTGGCCGAGCCACCCTTTCCCCCTGAAGCCCTGCTCCTTGAAGCCCTGCCCCTTCCCCCTGAGGCCCCGCCCCTTCCCCTGAGGCCCTTACCTTGTGCCACCCCTTCCCCCTAGAATCATAGAATCATAGAATCATAGAATATAAGGGTTGGAAGGGACCCCAGAAGGTCATCTAGTCCAACCCCCTGCTCGAAGCAGGACCAATTCCCAGTTAAATCATCCCAGCCAGGGCTTTGTCAAGCCTGACCTTAAAAACCTCTAAGGAAGGAGATTCTACCACCTCCCTAGGTAACGCATTCCAGTGTTTCACCACCCTCTTAGTGAAAAAGTTTTTCCTAATATCCAATCTAAACCTCCCCCACTGCAGCTTGAGACCATTACTCCTCGTTCTGTCATCTGCTACCATTGAGAACAGTCTAGAGCCATCCTCTTTGGAACCCCCTTTCAGGTAGTTGAAAGCAGCTATCAAATCCCCCCTCATTCTTCTCTTCTGCAGGCTAAACAATCCCAGCTCCCTCAGCCTCTCCTCATAACTCATGTGTTCCAGACCCCTAATCATTTTTGTTGCCCTTCGCTGGACTCTCTCCAATTTATCCACATCCTTCTTGAAGTGTGGGGCCCAAAACTGGACACAGTACTCCAGATGAGGCCTCACCAATGTCGAATAGAGGGGAACGATCACGTCCCTCGATCTGCTCGCTATGCCCCTACTTATACAGTAGCCCCGCTCTGCGAAGCCCCGCCCCTTCCCCCTGAGGCCCCGCCCCTTCCCCTGAGGCCCTTCCCTTGTGCCACCCCTTCCCCCTGAAGCCCCGCTCCTTGAAGCCCCGCCCCTTCCCCTTGAGGCCCTGCCCCTTCCCCTGAGGCCCTTCCCTTGTGCCACCCCTTCCCCTGAAACCCCGCCCCTTCCTCTGAGGCCCTTCCCTTGTGCCGCCCCTTCCCCTGAAGCCCCGCCCCTTTAAGCCCCGCCCCTTCCCCTTCCCCTGAGGCCCCGCCCCTTCCCCTGAGGCCCTTCCCTTGTGCCACCCCTGCCCCCTGAAGTCCCGCCCCCACCCAGCCCCTTCTCTCCGAGTCTCTGCCTTTGCACCGCCCCTTCTCCCTGAGCCCCTGCCCTTGCACCGTCCTCGCACGGCAAATGCTGGCCCAGCGCAATGACGTGTGCCTGCTGCCCCATCGGCTGCCATGTGAGGAGCTGTTGGGGGTGTCCGTGCAGCCGCAAGGCCATTGCCCTGTGTGGAGGTGCCCGTTCCCCACAAGCCCTGCTCCTGTGTATCCACCAGTGTGACCAGAGAAGTGACACGGAGCGGCCTAGAGGTGTCAGAGATGAGCGGGAAGGGGCTCGCTGACCCCCTTTGCCACGTATAAGCAGCAGACTCCAGCTGTCTCTTCCTGATGGGAGGGTGGGGATGGAGAGTTCAGCAGCAGCCGGAGGTGGGAGCGGGGGGAAGCAAAGCCAGCCGGTGTCCCGGCGTCCCTGGGCGATGCTCTGGAACTGCTCCCCACGAAGCCAGGCGGGACTCTGGGGAAGTCTCCTCTCTGTGAGCAGCCTGTCTTCAGGACACACAGCTCACACAGCTTCCACCTTCCTGGGTCTGACCTCGGAGCATTCAGCATCCTCTGCCCCTCCGTGCGCTTCCCACAGCAAGTCTGCTCATGCGGGGCTCCTGGGGAAGCCAGAGGGTCCTGCCCCCCAACTCCGCAGTCAGACGGGACTCTCAGCCAGCCAGTAACACAGACGTTTATTAGACGACAGGAACATGGTCTAACACATTGCTTGCAGGTGCAGAGAACAGGACCCCTCAGCTGGGTCCATTTTGGGGGCAGTGAGCCAGACAACCACGTCTGCCCTTCACTCCATGTCCCAGCCAGCCCCAAACTGAAACTCCCTCCAGCCCCTCCTCCTCTGGGCTTTGTCCCTTTCCCGGGCCAGGAGGTCACCGGATTCCTTTGTTCTCCAACCCTTTAGCTCTCACCTTGCAGGGGGGGAAGGGCCAGGCCATCAGGTGCCAGGAAACAGTGTGTTGGCCATTCTCTGTGTCCAGACCCCTGCACACACCTGCCCTCTAGGGCTCTGCAACGATCATACACCCTTACCCCACCCCCTAGATACTTAAGAACTGCCTAGGGGAAACTGAGGCACCCCCACAATATTCAGAGGAAACATTAAGAACAGTCCCACTTCGTCACAGCTGGAAACCCCATGGAGCGGGGCGCGCTGGAGGCTGTGTGATTTGAGGTGGGTGGGGGAGGGTTCCTGGTGAGTGAGCCGAGGGGGACAGGTGGCTGGGGAGGGTTCCTGGCTGAGCGATCTGTGGGCAGGGAATGGGCCAGGGCAGGCTGGGGCGGGTTCTCCATGAGCGTGCGGAATCAGGGCAGAGCCAGATGCTGGCGGCTCAGTGACATTCCAGCCAGGACTGTACCTGAGGGCCCAGGTCAATGCACTGGGGATTTCCGCTCTCCCCGGCGGCCCTCGTGCAATGGCTGCCTTGTTTGCAGGAGCCAGTGCAGAGGCTGGGGGATTCTCAGCTGAGCATCCAGCAGCTGGCCCAGGGTTAGCATGGGGCTGTCTGGTACAGAGAGCTGGGCTTTGAAAGGGGGCATCCTTGGGAGGCTGGTGTTCTGGCCAGTGTCCCAGGGACAGCGCTGGGGCAGCAGCAGCTGCTTGTCCCAGCAGCAGCCCCTGCTACCTCTCCTCTGTGCCCAGCACAGCCAGCTCCGGCTCTGCCTCCTGGCAGCCGCTGCTCAGGGCAAGCACATTGGAAAGTTCACCAAAGCTCAGTTAATCGTGCAGCTGGAGGAGGATGACCGCTCGAAGGAACAGATTCCTGATCCCAAATGGGGCTATAGCAGGATGTGGGAGCAGCTGGAGTAGTAGCCAGGCATCCCCAAGACTCCTGTCCCCGACCTGACGGGGGTCTTCACGATCGGGTTCCCCATCCGGGGGATCGGAGACGGACGGGATTGGAGATGAGTCCGAGAGAGCAAGAGGACTGTGAGAGACAGCGAGAGCCCGAGAAAGAGCTGCAGAAGCAGCAGCAGCATGAACTGGCAGTGGGGGAGCGGAGAGGCCTAGGGGACCTCCCCGGCGTGAGTGGGGATAGACCCCGGGGGGCCAGTTCCACAGGGAACCTTGAAACTAAATTGCTGCCCCTGGTTAAGGGGGGGGGGGGGGTGTGGATGCCCACCTCACTGCCTTTGAGCAGGCTGGAGATTTGAACCAGGGGGACCCTGCAGAAAAGCCCCGGTGTCTAGCTCCCTTGCTGGGTCCCAAGGCCATAGACTCCGTCAGCCAGATGGTTGGGGATGTGGACAGGCTCCCACTCCTGACCCCAACCTATATGTCTGTGTGGAGTTTCCTGGGGCCAGGCCCCTCGGACCTCCAGTGGGCGGAAGCTGATGGTCAATAGGGAGACATTCCTGGGGTGGCGAGATCCTGGGACAAAGAGAACTGTTGTCAGCCCCTGGGTGGTGCAGCCTCAGATGCTGAGGGGCTGTGTGAGCTGGGTGAGGGTCCCAGAGACGAAACCCCTCGCCCTGCCTATGGCCCAGATCCCTGTGCAGACCCAGGAGGGGTGGGGCTGGCTGGCCATTGGGGTTCTCCAGGATACCAGCTGCGAGACCCTGTTGTGGGATGACTGTGTCCCTTTGGGACAGGATCCAGGCCCTGCTCCTGTAACTGCTGAGGTTTGAATTTGAATCCAGGGAACCAATCTCTATTCGACATTGGTGAGGCCTCATCTGGAGTACTGTGTCCAGTTTTGGGCCCCACACTACAAGAAGGATGTGGATAAATTGGAGAGAGTCCAGCGAAGGGCAACAAAAATGATTAGGGGTCTAGAACACATGAGTTATGAGGAGAGGCTGAGGGAGCTGGGATTGTTTAGCCTGCAGAAGAGAAGAATGAGGGGGGATTTGATAGCTGCTTTCAACTACCTGAAAGGGGGTTCCAAAGAGGATGGCTCTAGACTGTTCTCAATGGTAGCAGATGACAGAACGAGGAGTAATGGTCTCAAGTTGCAGTGGGGGAGGTTTAGATTAGATATTAGGAAAAACTTTTTCACTAAGAGGGTGGTGAAACACTGGAATGCGTTACCTAGGGAGGTGGTAGAATCTCCTTCCTTAGAGGTTTTTAAGGTCAGGCTTGACAAAGCCCTGGCTGGGATGATTCAACTGGGAATTGGTCCTGCTTCAAGCAGGGGGGTTGGACTAGATGACCTTCTGGGATCCCTTCCAACCCTGATATTCTATGATCCTATGAATTGGTGGAGAGGGAAATGGTCAGTGAAAATGCAGATGACCTGGCTGGGAGCAGGGAGGAGCCACTAGGCTCAGGCTACCTGCCTGCCTGTATCCAGACCCCTGGGGCTCCCCGCCTCCCTTGCACACCGGAGAGGGGGCTCACGCTGGCTCTGATGCAGTGAGGAAAGCAGGGAGCTCGCTGCCTACCCCCACGGGGACAGCAAGGGCAGCGCTGAGCACAGTGGGAGCTGAGACCCCAGCTGAGTGGGGGGAGACACAGGCAGGGCAGGGGATCTGTGGGGAGTGGCAAGGTGCTGGGTAAGGAAAGTCTGGATGAGCCCAGGCAGCCTTGTGAGCTGATGGCTGTGTCCAGTCAGCAGGGTGGGAAGGCGAGGAGAGTGGAAGATGAG